TTTTATAAAAAATAATTTCTATAGATTTTGAAATCTTTCCGTTAAAAGCTAGTGCTCTTTTCCATTACCAGCAAGAATCTACTAGATTTGCATTATTTTTTTGATATCATAAAGGAAAAATCGGTTATAGTAGCAAAAAATTTTACATTCAAGCAGTTCTGGAATAGAGCATATCTTTTTAGATATTTTGGAAGAGTTATAGATTTGTTCTTACTTCCAAATATTATTCGAACACTATTCAATACAATTTTCTAAATAAAAACAAATTTTTGTTTTGTCCAATTTTAAATAGTTCGCGTGAGGCGCCGTGGCTTAGTTGGTTAAAGCGCCTGTCTAGTAAACAGGAGATCGTGAGTTCGAATCTCGCCGGGGCCTGCAACAGAGTTTGGGTAATTTTTGTGGGGAATTATTTCCAAAAATATGTGGCTTCTGTGATAATAACATATAGTTGTGGGCCAATATTGGTAACAGAACAACATATAATAACATAATATAACTTTGAAAATAGAAATACATCTCCCTGGGTATTTTGCCCTGGGTTACACATGCAATTGGCAGTTCGAAAAATATCAGTACTACAGTCAAACATATGCACTTGCAATTTGAATTTCAAACCAATTGACAATACATTTTCCCAGTCAGTAAGCAATAAAAGCGTGTTATTAGAAACTTCAATTTTTTTTTTTTCAAAATTTACTCCCCAGAAACCTTAAAAAATCTTTGCCACAAAAAAGTAAGTTCCTCAGTAGATAGGCCCCGGCGAGATTCGAACTCACGATCTCCTGTTTACTAGACAGGCGCTTTAACCAACTAAGCCACGGCGCCATCTGGCGCCCATCGTCATTTAATTTCTATATAATTCAATATAGATCTCTAAAATATAGAGCAAAATATAAACAATTCACTTCAATTATTTATTTCTTTTCTATCACGGTCATTCGAATACTTGATTTTTTTGTTTTTGTTTTCAACAAAAAAAAACTTGTTATTGGTTTTTTGGATGTATGAGAAACATTTTTTTTTTGGAAATTTATAAAATAGTCACGCTAACAAATTCATATTGCTGACGCAAAAAAAAAAACTTGTTTTGTAGTTCAATGCCAGCTAATTCAAAATTCCCATATCTGGCTAAATCAAAATGGAATGTCCGCAAGATGGCGCCGTGGCTTAGTTGGTTAAAGCGCCTGTCTAGTAAACAGGAGATCGTGAGTTCGAATCTCGCCGGGGCCTGAAACAGATGGGAAAGTGTTGTAATTTCCCTTTTTTATAACATATAAGGTTGCCCCTCTTCAGATTTTTATGCTACACTCGAAGAAAAAATAAAATGCTATATTTTTACTACAGTTACTTATTAAAAATTTAGGGATATACACTACACTTAGAGAAAAAAAAATTATAAAACGTTATACATTGGTTACGTATTTATATTCATTGAATGGATCGGTGGTGATAAGCTTGATAGAATGGCCATAATTATTTTTGAAAATAGTATTCTGGGAGGATTTCCATAAATAGAAATTTCAAAAACTTCGCATTGGGGTTAATAGTTATTAATTTGTCCACAAAGTTTATTAACCCTAAATCGGTGGAGCCGTTGTATGAACTGTACACCGGGAAGGAACGCAATTTGAAATAAAGGATCCTAGACAAATGAGTTTCAAAATCTTGTGAAATTATTCCATTATTGTAATTGTACAGTGAATTCTAGTCAAATGATTTTGAAACATTTTATATCATTCCGGTTTGAAATTAGACATCGAGGAAAAAAAGCTGTGCGGCTATTATATATCATTATTGTAATAGACAATAGATTCTACTCAAATAAACTAGTAATATCTATGAAAACTGCTGTGAAATTGCACTGAGTTGCGGGATCTCAGGTCCATGCCATTATATACACACATATACCTAATTAGATTTTGGGATCTATTTTCAAAATCAGGTATGAAGTGGAAAAAATAACCAGACAATGCTAATAACATTAATCACTAAGTATAGGTTAATTTTTTCAGTCCGTGAAAGGATAACCATAATGTGAGATCTCAGAGTTTACGTCTTTCCAAAAATATCTTCGTAAATGGGAATAAAACACGAAAAAACGAATATCGGGTGGTACCTTTATTTGGCGGCTATAGAAAAACGTGTACCGATATATCACATTTTCAATACCAAACATCCTAGACACAATTGTGCCAAATTTTAAAGTTCTACGTCAAATAATGTGGACTGTATCGTGATTTCAACAGATAGACAGACGGACATCGTTATATCGACTTTGAATTTTACGCTAATCACGAATATATATACTTTCTGGGGTCTACGACGAATTTTTAGGGATGTTTTTAAGGTGGAGATATAACAATACAATCAGGGAACAAGACATCGGGAGAACATAAATGTCCGACTCGCTGCCTGGCACGGCCCTGCCCTAGACAACAATTTCGTTGCGTCTGTTTCTAAAATACACCCCCTTCTTACAAAAGCATTTATTTAAGCTATTTTGAAAATGTATATTTTTTGTTATTTCAAATCATCCCTGCACGAAATTATGCAACAAACATGTGCTGTGTACAAATGCCCTCTTCTTCTAGGGGGCGCCGTGGCTTAGTTGGTTAAAGCGCCTGTCTAGTAAACAGGAGATCGTGAGTTCGAATCTCGCCGGGGCCTTACCATAAAAAAAGCTATTAATTTTTGGTGGTTTTGTTTTTAGAAAATTATTTGATTTCTTCTCGGCGTTTCCAATTGGTTTTCAATTTTCCGTTTGTTCTGACCATAAAAAAGCTACTAATTTTTGTAGTTTTCCTTAAAAATATATTCTTTATTTCTCCGCATTTGCAATTCATTTCTAAGTCCATTTGAACTGAAAAATTAGAAAAAATATATTTTTATTCGTGGGTAGTTATAACATGAAGTGTACTAAGGTGGATATTTAATTTGTCTTACCATAAAATGCTGATTTGTTTATATGGTATTCAAGAAATTAATTTTTCGGTTAAAAAATTAAATATTCCAGTCTAAGTTAAGGAGTTTCCAATAAGTGGAGCTCTTTTGGTGCGTACTCAAAGTAAAAGTATTTTTTTAAATAAATAATCTGATGTTTACTTCTTAAGAAGGTGTGCTGAAGACGTGTTGGGACCAACAGCTTGAATTTTTCAATCATCTGTATTGACGATACATACTTAAGGTTTCTCAAATGTGACCGGATAATTTAATATAACAACTCTTGTTGGAATTTCCTGTGTTTATTAGATTTATTCTTGCAGACGTTTTTATGGCAGATTTTACGATAAGGCTAAAATTATGAAAAAAAATATGTTTTCTACATTGGGTGCCGTTTTTGTATGCAAATATGCAGTCTATTTATCTTTAGATTTAATATTTAATCAGTTTTTTACCTAATTTACTGTCACTTCCAAAGTAACCGAAAAACCGGGTAATTTAAAATAGCCGATCTTGTGGGAATTTCAAGTTTTTTGTTAGATTTATTCTTTCGAAGGACTCTCAGTGCTATAGAATTAAATAATTCACATGTTTTCTTAGCGTATTTCATGATGACACTAAAATTATGAAAAAAATCTTTTTTCCACATTGGGCGCCATTTTATAATTTATATCTATATATTTTTTTATAAAAAAAACTCCAGTTTATTCATTGTTAGATTAAATTTTTAATCAGTTCTAACCTAATTTACTGTCACTTCCGAAATACCGGGTAATTCAAAAAACTCACCTTTTTGAATACCCTGCATTCCTAGAATTTTTTATGACAGTCTCTTAAACTCATTCTTTCAAAAATGAAGTGTCAGTACAACGACTTCTTCTATTGAAATCAGGCTACAGCCCACATTATTTGACGTAGAGCTTTAAAATTTGGCAGAACCGCTTGTATTGTTTCTATGATGGTTGGTATTGAAAATGATATATATCGGTCCACGTTTTCGTATAGCCCCAAACAACGGTACCTTCCGATATTCAATATTTTGATGATTTTTGCTACATTTTTCCAAAAATTTGTCCACGTTTTCGTATAGTCCCCACATAGTGGTATCTCCCGATATTCGGTATTTTGATGATTTTTGCCACATTTTTCCAACGAATTTGCCCAAAAATTGCTATTTGTAGTTCCCAATGGATTCTAGCTCTGATGGCGGAACATGGTATATATGGGTCCACATTTTGGTGTAACCCCCATACAACGGCACCTTCTGATATTCGGTGTTTTTGATGATTTTTACCACATTTTTCCCCGAATTTGTCTAAACATTGGGATTTGTAAGACATACTTGGTTCTAGCTTCGGTGCCGAAACATTATATATATAGGTCCACGTTTTTGTATGTTCCCATATAACGGTACCTCCCGATATTAGGTATTTTGATGATTTTTGCCACTTTTTTCCAAGGGATTTGTCTAAAAATTGGGATTTGTAAGTCATATATATTTTCGTTTTCCTATAGCGCACATGTAACGATACCCACCGCTATTCGGAATTTTGATAATCCTAGTCACATTTATCCACTAAATTGTTTCAAATTTGGTATTGTGGTGTGCGCCTTTAAAAGGGGTAACCCTGAAAATAATTGATAGCTAGAAGAAGAAGAAGAACAATTACTAAAAAACAGCTGATTATTCCAATTACTTAAATGTCAATATTAGGGAATAATGTAAAAAGAAAATGGAAAAATTAAGCGAGGAAAATGGCAGCCAGAATTTCCTGGCAAAAATTGTAAGAAAAATCGGTCCTTTTTGATTTACCTGCGAAGAAGATTGGATGTGTGGCTCCCTGTAACCAGCGAAGAAAAAAGTCGACAAAGTTTTTGGTGATGAACCACTTGTTAAGAAGTGAATTCAATGTTTTTATTTGTTTGAAACATATATACAAACAACACGAAATACAAACTTTTTTTTTACAAAATTGGAAGCCTTAAAATAATTAAGCAAAAGTTAACGACAAAAGGCGAAAAGTTGAAATAAAACTTAAAACAAAACGAATAATTTTCACAAAAATTGAAAATTAAAAGACAAATTGAACTTACTTAAATTTAAAACAAAATTTCGAAACAATTTAACAAAATTGAAAAGAAAAACCACAACAATTAACTAAAAATCTAAACCAAGAAAATAAATCTTAAACCTAGAAATTCCTGAAGAATTGGAGCCTACAAGCCACACCATCGCCCATCCAATCCACCGAGGGAGGCGCAGAGTTTACGCCATTGCTGTTCCAGCGTGGCTTGGTATCATTCCCAATCGACATTTAATACATGAAACTCCGGACAGACAGACAGACGACTAAGCAACATAATTAAATTCCGCGGTTTTTCTGAAAAGAAGAAATAAATTAGAAGGGTGAACAAACGAGTTAATAGTAAATTTTTTTTCTTACTTTGTGTTGGTATGCAGGTACGCGACATTGAACTGAGCTCAATTCAAGGTTAGGTTACCCGGCATTGGTTAGATTGTCGATTTAATGTGGTATCGACCTACATTCCTTTGTTCGTCCTCAGCTGGAATTGAAAGCAAAAAAAAAAATATTATTTACATTCTGACCGAGGAATATAATTAAAAAGCTGAAACACGAACTTATTCGTACATACTTACGTTTTGGGAAAAAGCCTTAGTCACAAGCTGCCGTCAAGGTTCTACACTCTGGGTGCCCGCCGTTAAGCCCTAAAAGTACAAAAAGAAAAGATTACTTTCGAAAATTGATTTTTATTGGCAATTCTTTGTTTTTTTCTGAAATTTTTATATTATAATTCGCTGTAAATTGTTAGATTTTGATTCAAATTACGATGGAATGAATTGTTTTTTTTGCCAAATATGTAATATAGTTTTAATAAATATGTACTGGATTAAACCTGAAAAGATAAAAATGTCTTCGGCTTAATGCCCTATTAAAAAGGTGGTGGGGATGGGATAAAATGTGGTAAGTCAAGGGTCAGATCTGGGACGTCCAGTATGAGTAGACGTCATGGCGAGAGGTGTTCTCGGAGGGAGGGCTATCTCCTGGCTGGTCAGCCGCCAGGAGCACTGTTTCTGTGAAAAAACTAAGGTTATTTTGGGATTTGGTTGCAGTTAGGTGAACGTTTTCTTCTTTTTAAATTTTTTGTTGACATGTTTCAGGCTTCTTTTTACCCCCTTTTTTAATTTAGTTTGAAGTCCGGTATGATTTTTTTGTTTTGTTCAACCGAAAAGATCTGCAAGTGGCAAGAACCAACCCCCAATCCGACGAGCCATAGCCGCGCTAAACGCCAGCATACCGGCAACGCCACTTAATGATCAACACAGCGATTTCATTTCGTTTTTCTAGATCACGGTTGTTACAAAATGGCGCCCAGAACGTGGGGCCTGAGACATGTTAGTTTTTAATAGTTTTTAGTCGTAGTGTATAAATGTGTTTACCATGAATCTTTAATGAGTCCCGTCTAGGTATAATTAAGAATCCTGACGCGTTGCTTCATCGAAGACTCGGGTAAACATCATTTATATTTGGAAAAATATGATTTTTAGTTTTTTCTAGTGGCTTAGTCGTTCAAGTTTGATACTTCTAATTGCACTAGCATTTTAATAAAATTTCATATTTTAGTAAAGTTTAAATTTCAGATGGCTTAAAGTTATAAAGTTGAAAGAATTCGTCTGGTTTAACAGTTCTCATTTGTGGAGACCCGTCTAAGCAGCCGATTAGAAGGCAGGTGACGCGCTGCTACGCAAATATGAACTGTTATTCTCAAACGAATTTGTTGATTTGGGTTTTTTTTTAGATTTTAGTTTCTGTCTATATTTAATTTCAGTACCCGGAATTTGGTAGCTGATCTCAGACTTACCTAGAGTTTCCATTCGGTCCTGCGACAATTTTGGCTTCCGACCATTGGTCGTATTGTCATGGAACCTCTTTAGGGATGTCTGAGTAAGCCGCCTATTCCATATTCCATTTTTCTCCGTTCATTTTTACTTCATTTAAATCCCACAGTTTTGCCAGTGTAACTCACCAAATCCCTGCAAAAAAGTGAAACATATTAAAAATTGATACAGAAACAGTTTATTTGACCTTGACTTACCACTATTTTGACCAGAAATCCACCACCTAACATTATTTGATTTTTTCCAGTTCTTTTTTAAACATCAAATTATTCTGCCGGATAATAGAATTTGTATGCCGTACAGAATAACCTGTAAAAGTGAAAAGTGTGAATTAATTGTGAAAGAACTGAATTACATTGAATTGATTTTTTTAGTTTACTTACCACAATTGTTTTTATTATTTTATTTTTTTTTTCTTTAATTCAAACCACCGTGTGGTTTAATTTCGAGCAAATCTTTTGGCATATTTCATTTTGATTTTTTCGCTTTTTCGAGTTTTTGTTTGCTAAGTTTGTTAGATCAAGTAGCAATATGCCTCTTACTAGAGCTGCGAGTGCAGGTTTGGCAGGTAGACCGATATTAGGGCAAAATGGGGTGGTAACCACTTCCGAAGCTACAGCCGTAAGCAGTGTTGTTACCGCGGTTCACATCGCTCCTTCTAACGCACAACAGGTTACAACTGCCGCGCATAGTGGTCCCATTGCTTCTCATATTTCACATTTAGCACATGGGGACGTCCCAGCTCAACGTATTTCAACATCAATGTCCAATTCATATGCGCCGCCACCAGTTCCATTAAGCATGCAAGAGGCCGCTAACTCGTTTAACACGTCTTTTTGGTCACATGGAAGCGTGGCCTCACCAAACTATAGTGTTTTGACCGGGTTGCAGAATAGACCAGTTGTTCCGCCGGCAGATCCAGCAGTCAGCGCAGGCGTCAGGGAAATTATTAATCCTGCCATCGCCCTGTCCCAATTGCAATACCGTCAACAGGAAGAAGAAAGATTGAGAGTGCTGATACCTAGAATTGCTGAAGCGACCAAGCGTTCGTTGTTGGGGGATAATGACGCCACTAATCAGTTATTTTCACAAGCCGGTTTGGCGATGCCAGCAGCGGCAGCACATGCACCAGCCCGCACATCCTTGGAGTCAGTCATTCTGTCTTCACATGCATTGGCGTCAGGCTTAACGTCTCAGCAGCCTAATTTAGCAAGGGGTTACACACTACCATATCCGGAGCGAGTAAATCCACCACCGATTCACGATCCTAGACCGTTGTCACTTGGACCTGTTAACCAACCGCCACCAGGGTTCACATCGAGTGGTGCACCAGCACAACCACCAACCAGCTTATCGGTACCACCACCAGTCACCGGAGTCCAAACCCACACAATACTGCCGGCCGAGAGGTTGCCTAATATCTACAGCAGAGGCATGCGGACAGAGCCACACGAGACACATACCAGTCCACATCCAAGCAGTATCGTCTCAGAGATCTCCGGGCGTTTTAATTTGGCGAAATGGGGAGTATCTTTTGATGGTACCGACAAAACCATGAGCGTCCAAGAATTCATCTTCAGAGTGGGTGAACTTAAAAAAGATTACAATTGCCCAGATGAAGTATTGATCACCAAATTTCATCAACTTTTGGAAAAACCAGCTCTCGATTGGTATTGGAACCACCGGAAATTGGTCCAGTTTCGCACATGGAAGGAGTTAGAAAGTGCTTTGTTGGCGCAATACCAAAGATTTGAAAATGAATTCCAACTTCAGATGCAGATTTTAAATCGGCGTCAACTACCACACGAGAATTTTGAAGAATTTTATAATGATGTACTGCGGCTAAGGACACAGCAAAAGTCACCATACAGGGAGCACGAGATAGTGGAAATAATGAGAGGCAACCTTAAGCCGTCTTTAGCCCAAATGATCTTCTCGGCTCAGATAAATAGCTTGGGTGATTTTTATAGGCAAGTGAAGAAAGCCGAAAATCTTTTATGGACCCAAAGGCAGCAACGCTACAACACACCACAGAAAGTGCACGAGCTCGATTGGCAGATCGAAGAGGAACCCCGAGGTGAAATTGAAGTTGATGCCGTGACCATGACATCCAAATATAAATGTTGGAACTGCGGTGTTATGGGTCATAGCTGGATGGAGTGCCGAGAGCCTCGAAAGATTTTCTGCTATAGGTGTGGCCAAGAAGGTGTTACCGTCCCCGATTGTCCGAAGTGTCAGGGAAACCGGCACAGGAACCCACCTCAGTCTGGGCAGGTGAGGTCAACCCCAGTTTAAGCCCAGAGCAGAGTAGTAGTAGTTCCAGTATTAAAGTTTCTATTTTGAAGAATGTAGAACAAGAAAGTAGAAAGTCAGAAGTAAAACCGAGATTGAGAGAGTTGAAACCACTACATATCAGAGTAAGAGAATATTGCGAGGCGAGAGAAAGAATTTTTGGTCAAGTTTCCAATAAAGTTAAGAAGGCTAGAGAGCGTTATAAGAGGAGAAGACGCATTCGTCAGGAAATAGCCTCGGCTACCATATTTGAAGGGGAAGATAATCGTTTATATACCAAACTGCATATCAATGGTGAAGAAATAGAGGGATTGCTAGATAGCGGAGCCTCCGTTTCCTGTCTGGGGAAAAATTGCCTTAGCTTTGTGGAGAGAGCGGGATTGGAAATTAAGCATTTCCATACTTTTATTAAAACAGCTGATGGAAGCCCACATAAAATAGTTGGCAGGGTGACAACTAATGTCAAATTTAGAAAGCAGGAGCATTCTATCATATTCTATCTTGTTCCTTCTCTGAGTCGTGAGTTGTTTCTGGGGGTAGACTTCATGAAACGTTTCCAAATGTTTGCTCAGGTGGACGGTTTGTCACTCCAGGAAGTGAGTCTCTGTGGTGAGCCTGAGATCAGTGATGTTAACAGCCATTCTTTGTCCGAGGAGCAACGAGTTCGTTTGCAAATAGTGAAGGACAAATTTCCTTGCTTTACCAAGTATGGCTTGGGAAAGACTACAGCTGAGGTCCATTCAATCGACACCCGCGATGCAACCCCGGTGAAAGATAGGCATTATCCCGTTTCCCCGGCTGTGCAGAAACTTATGTATGCGGAATTGGATAGGATGATAGAGCTAGGTGTGATTGAAGAGAGCGAGAGTCCATGGAGTCATCCGGTTACTCTAGTCCGAAGGGGCGAAAAGAACCGTTTGTGCCTGGACGCTCGCAAACTCAATGCACTGACGGTCAAGGACGCCTATCCATTGCCGCATATAGAAGGTTTGCTCAGTCGGCTGGGGGATACCTATTTCATTTCTAGTGTCGACCTGAAGGATGCGTTCTGGCAAATTCCACTGGATCCTTCAAGTAGAGAGAAAACTGCATTCACAGTGCCTGGACGACCGCTTTACCATTTTACCGTCATGCCCTTTGGTCTGTGCAATGCAGCCCAAAGGTTATGCCGTTTAATGGATAAAGTGATCCCTGGCGCACTACGTGATAGAGTTTTCGTCTACTTGGATGATCTTTTGGTTGTTTCGCCAGACTTCGACACTCACCTGGGATTGCTAGAGCAGGTGGCAGGTTGTTTGGCTAAAGCAGGACTCACAATAAATGTAACCAAGTCGAAGTTCTGCTTCAAAGAGCTTAGATACTTGGGTTACATTGTTGGAGGTGGCAAACTTAAAACTGATCCGGCAAAGGTGGAAACAATAGTGAAGTTTACATACCCGAAAACAGCAAAGCAGGTGAGGAGTTTCATGGGTACGGCAGGGTGGTATCGAAGGTTCATTGCCGACTTTGCCACCATTGCGGCTCCCATCTTCGAGACCCTGAAGAAAGGAAAACGATTCACGTTCACAGAGGAGGCCAAGGTTGCATTTGACAAATTGAAACAAGCCCTTGTAAGTAGTCCTGTCCTGACACACCCAGACTTTAACAGACACTTCTATGTTCAAAGCGATGCCTCAGACTTGGGAATAGGGGCAGTATTATTTCAGAGAGACGATGAGGGTGGAGAACATCCCATTGCTTATTTTTCACAAAAACTGACTTCTGCTCAGAAAAATTACTCGGTGACTGAGAGGGAGTGTTTGGCAGTAGTGATGGCCATTAAAAAATTCAGGCCATATATAGAATTGATGCCTTTCACAGTTATAACGGACCATAGCAGTTTAAAATGGCTCATGTCACATCGAGATCTGAGCGGAAGGTTAGCTAGATGGAGCCTACAGTTGCAGGCATATTGTTTTGAAATAGAGCACCGTAAAGGAACCCAGAATATAGTACCTGATACTTTATCAAGATATGATATGGAGGAGATTTCGCTAGATGTGAAGGCCTTAATCGATCTCGATTCCTTAGCTTTTAAAGCAGACGATTATTTAGCCTTAATAGAAACCATCAAAAATAATTCTTCACAACTTCCCGATCTAAAAGTGATTGATGGTTTGGTATGTAAACGAACTCAATTCTACGACGGAATTCCCCTTAATGAAGATTTCGCCTGGAAGTTATGGGTACCCAGCGAAATGACCCAGCAAATAATTGAAAAAGCACACTGTCCACCACAAGTTTCTCATGGAGGTTTCCACAAAACTCTTCGTAGGGTGAAAGAGTACTTTTTCTGGCCAAATATGAATACTCAAGTTAGAAATTTTGTACAAAATTGTGATATCTGTAAAGAGACAAAACCAGCCAATTCGACTCTTCGTCCATCTATGGGAGCCGAGACTATTACAGAAAGACCCTTTCAAAGAATTTATGTAGACTTCTTAGGTCCTTATCCCAGAACCAAAACGGGAAACAGTTTTATTTTCATTGTGGTAGACCACCTTTCGAAATACGTTTTGCTAAAAGCCATGGCCAAAGCAAATTCAAGAAATGTAGTTAAGTTTTTAATTAGTGAAGTATTTCATAAATTTGGAACCCCAGAAGTTATTGTGTCAGATAATGGGAAACAATTTATTAGCAAAGAATTTTCAGATATGATTAAACTTTTTGGTATAAACCACACCAAAACTGCTTTTCACTCTCCGCAAGCAAATGCCTCGGAGCGGGTAAATCAATCTATTTTATCAGCGATTCGGGCATATCTGGGAGAAGATCACCGAGAATGGGATCAAAATTTATCAGAAATAGAATGTTCTCTGCGATCTTCTGTCCATAGTTCCATCGGAACTACCCCTTATTTTGCGCTCTTTGGAGTCAATATGATAAATCATGCTAGTCTTTATAAATTAGCCAGGAAGCTTAAACTTCTTAATGACCCCGAGACGACACTCATTCCAAACTCGGTAAAACAGAATCTTATTCGAGAAAAGATAAGAAATAGTCTGCACCAGGCATACTTGAGAAATGAAAAATCTTATAATCTTAGAAGTCGTCAGGTCAAGTTCATCCCAGGGCAAGAAGTTTTCCGAAGAAGTTTCAGGCAAAGTGATTTTAAAAATAATTATAATGCTAAACTTGATAAAAAATTTTTCAAGTGTCGCATTGTTAAGCCAGTTGGGAAATGCCTTTACGAAGTAGAAGATCTTAAAGGGCATCCCATTGGCATTTTTCACGCTAAAGATTTGAAGCAATAAATGCTTTAGTTTTGATGAATTAAATTCTTCTAATTATTTTTTTTTTTGTTCTCTTTGCATATATATAGTGAACGAAGTCTAAAGCATATATATGAGGATAGAATTTTTTTTTTTTGTTCAGTTAATTTAAGTGGAATTTTAAAATGAAGCGGAGATCTCAAAATGAAATACTAATCCGCAATCCGCATATGTAAAATTTAACTCTTAATTCTATCTTAACTTAACTTAAAGCTAACTTAAGTTCAAATTTTTCCAATACTCACCTGAATTTTCAAAGAGTTCCGGAAGATCCAATTGAATTTAGTTGAAGTAGTACCTGAATTAAAAAAAAAAAAAAGTACAAATTTTATTACAATTATTTAAGATATAATGTTAAGAGGACTAACCTGAATTTCTACTTACGAAATGTCCTTTTAGTATTCCCGAATTTTTAACAAGCTGTAGGACAGCTTTTCCTTCCTGAGTGGTGTGTAGTTGTGTGAATGGGTAAGGGTTGAACCCAATTTCTCCAGTTTTTGAGCCATAAAGGAAAAGAAAAAAAATATGAATTAGTGAAATATCATTATGTAGGATTATTGGCGAAATAGAAAAATACGAATAAAAATGAACAACTTAAAAATAAAATTAAATTTGAAATGTCCATCTCAAGCCATACTTACAAATTTTTTTTTTAGCTAAATTTTGGTTATAAATTATGAAATTTATGTTTATAAAAAATTGAGTTCTCATAATTTTTCTCATTTTCCAGAGCAAAATTACAAAAACTACGAAATAGAATTAAAACTACAACTTACGTTCATTTCTGAAGCGCCGACTGTAGTCCCACCACAAGTCTCGGCTAGAATATTTGGTAAAGTTCGGAACCCTGTTTTTTTCCATCCGAACAGGAGTCCAATCTTCTAGACTCTAACAGCAGATGTCAGAATTGTGAAGTCAGAGTACGAATGAAAGCACTCTGGGTTTACCGACTCTAGTTGATGTCTGCGCATCCGGAGCAGTCACCTGGTGACTGTCTTTGACCATTAGTGCAATTCCCCTTTCGCGGTGAAGCAGTAGCCGTTCGCTCTTTGGCACGGGCCAGGGAACTGTTGTACACGAGGTCGCAGATCCGTCCTTCACCCGACTTACGACACTAGAGTCTGGAAGCCAGAAGACAAAAAGAACAAATACACCTAAGTGCATTTGCAAACCATCGTATCCGACATTCTGACAAAAGCTGAAGGTCTAGTCGATGGTACACCTGTTGGAGAAAAAAGGAGAACAGGATTACTCGAACTTACCATCAAATATAATTTCCTGGTTTCACAGGAGAGGCAGATTAAGTCGCCTGTAGGTAATAAATGTCTGGAAAGATAAAAAAGGAAGTATTAATATTTTTCTTATTAAATTATTAGCGTTTCTATTTTTTTTTACTTACCTTTTTGTGAATGCAATATCCAATTTGAGTAACTTCTCTAGATGTCTTTTGATTATTGAGACCATGGAAAATTTTTTCATGTAACCATAGGAGGCCACTCGCCTAGACACCAGCAGCAGTGGTCAGAAAGAATCCGTTGGATTACGAACGGAAGCATCCCAGATTTACCGACTCTAACAATATGTCTACGATTCCTGAGCAGTCACGTTGTGACTGTCCTTGACCATTTGTGCACTCTTCCTTTATATTCCCATACGCAACTATGGCACAAGGCAGAAGAGTGTTGTACACAAGGTCGCAGAGCTGTCAGTCATCGATTTACGACGTTAGAGTCTGGAAGCGGGAAGACACGATCAAACACATCTAAATGCATTTGAAATAATATCGTATCCAACAATCTGACCAAAGTGTGGACCTAGTTGAGGGTACCCCTACAGAAAAAGAAAATATCTGGTCTCAATCTTACCTTTCGTTTAATCCAAACGTAGGCAGTCGCCAATCTGAAAAGATAAGAACAGAAAGAGAAAGTATTAGTTATCTGTGAAAAAGAGGAAACTTTAAGTTAAAATCAAAATATAATTTAGAACGAATAGAGTAAAAATTTACTTTTAGACAATCACACCGAATATGTCCGTCCGATTTATATAACTTTCTTTATTTTATCTTTTATAATTTTCGTTTGTTAATTAAATTTAATTTTTTGTATTAAAATTCAGAATATTTCACATAATTTTCCACTTGAAATTTACCGAAACCAAATTTTGCAAATTTTAAAAAAAATTTTCATTTTTAATAAACTCACAATAGTATTTCAATTTCATTCACTTTTATTTTTCATTCATTTAGACACTGATTTGCACAGTTCTTAATTAACTGATAACTTTTTAATTTTTATTTTCAATTGAATTTTCCATCATTAAAAATAAACTATTATGTCCGTCCGATCACTGAAACACTAGATTATTTTTCCACTTATTTGCCAGATTCCAGTTTTAATATCTTCAATTTCATTAATGTTCCATAAAGTATTTTATAAAATTTAATGAAGATTTTTCACTAGTAGTTCCACTTTGTTTTCCCTTTTATTCATTTGGGTTTAATTTTTTTTATTTTCATTAGGCACAGTATCACCTTATTTGCACTTTTGTTTTGATTCCACAATTTCTTCCTTTATTTTAAATTTCACTATTTTCCTCCATAATTATTTATTGTTCCGTACTTTGAGTTTATTTTTTTCATTTCGCTCTCTTTCTTTTATTCTTTTTCTTCGAAATCATTGTAATAGATTTTCGAAGTTTAATATTTCCGCCAAAGTCACATTTTTTCTTAATGAGTGCATTTTTTCATTGTAAATGCAAATGCAACTTTTATTTACACACACACACACACACACACTGGAGGGAAATCATTCATTTTTTTTTTTGGTTAGAATATTTAAATATTTTTAGGAAATTAATTGAATTTGTTTTATTAAAACCACTCTTTTTATCATATTTCCTATTATTCTTTTAGTTTTCGTTATTAATTTCTCAGATTTCTCTGGATATTTTTTTTTCCATGCAATTATTTGCAAGTTACTATTCGCACATACACCCGCACTGTATGTTTATGATAGTAATTTTCAATCATTTCTTTGGCACTTTATTCACTTTTCACTTTAATTATACACGTTATTTTCACTCACCCGGCATTCACATTTATTTTATTATAATTAATTTATAATACACTATAATTTTTTTTTCACTCTACTTACCCAAATTTTATCATTTCTGCAGCTCCAAAATTTTCCGTCCGTCCGTGCTCCAATCCGCCAAAAAAAATTACAATAGACGCGTACTCCGATTGTTTTCATTCATAAACGTCACTACTATCGATAGTCACTACTATCGGTAGTCAACTTACATCAGACTAAACGATAACGCGTGGCGTACGACGTAAACATTATACCATGTTCCTACGGGCTAATGGAGCTTAATATTGTAATAAATAAATCAGACCAAAATTAAATTTTAGTTTGGAAAATCAGAGTTAGGGATGCCAGACTGCGATTATTAGGGATGCCAAACACCGATTTTTTGTAAATACCATATCAAACCATTGATTTTTTTTTGCATTTTTAAACCAAAGGTCGCACTTTTTTTCCCCCTATCCTTCGATAAGGATATCAGCAGGATAGTCGGCTTTGTGGTGTGCGCCTTTAAAAGGGGTAACCCTGAAAATAATTGATAGCTAGAAGAAGAAGAAGAACAATTACTAAAAAACAGCTGATTATTCCAATTACTTAAATGTCAATATTAGGGAATAATGTAAAAAGAAAATGGAAAAATTAAGCGAGGAAAATGGCAGCCAGAATTTCCTGGCAAAAATTGTAAGAAAAATCGGTCCTTTTTGATTTACCTGCGAAGAAGATTGGATGTGTGGCTCCCTGTAACCAGCGAAGAAAAAAGTCGACAAAGTTTTTGGTGATGAACCACTTGTTAAGAAGTGAATTCAATGTTTTTATTTGTTTGAAACATATATACAAACAACACGAAATACAAACTTTTTTTTTACAAAATTGGAAGCCTTAAAATAATTAAGCAAAAGTTAACGACAAAAGGCGAAAAGTTGAAATAAAACTTAAAACAAAACGAATAATTTTCACAAAAATTGAAAATTAAAAGACAAATTGAACTTACTTAAATTTAAAACAAAATTTCGAAACAATTTAACAAAATTGAAAAGAAAAACCACAACAATTAACTAAAAATCTAAACCAAGAAAATAAATCTTAAACCTAGAAATTCCTGAAGAATTGGAGCCTACAAGCCACACCATCGCCCATCCAATCCACCGAGGGAGGCGCAGAGTTTACGCCATTGCTGTTCCAGCGTGGCTTGGTATCATTCCCAATCGACATTTAATACATGAAACTCCGGACAGACAGACAGACGACTAAGCAACATAATTAAATTCCGCGGTTTTTCTGAAAAGAAGAAATAAATTAGAAGGGTGAACAAACGAGTTAATAGTAAATTTTTTTTCTTACTTTGTGTTGGTATGCAGGTACGCGACATTGAACTGAGCTCAATTCAAGGTTAGGTTACCCGGCATTGGTTAGATTGTCGATTTAATGTGGTATCGACCTACATTCCTTTGTTCGTCCTCAGCTGGAATTGAAAGCAAAAAAAAAAAATATTATTTACATTCTGACCGAGGAATATAATTAAAAAGCTGAAACACGAACTTATTCGTACATACTTACGTTTTGGGAAAAAGCCTTAGTCACAAGCTGCCGTCAAGGTTCTACACTCTGGGTGCCCGCCGTTAAGCCCTAAAAGTACAAAAAGAAAAGATTACTTTCGAAAATTGATTTTTATTGGCAATTCTTTGTTTTTTTCTGAAATTTTTATATTATAATTCGCTGTAAATTGTTAGATTTTGATTCAAATTACGATGGAATGAATTGTTTTTTTTGCCAAATATGTAATATAGTTTTAATAAATATGTACTGGATTAAACCTGAAAAGATAAAAATGTCTTCGGCTTAAAGCCCTATTAAAAAGGTGGTGGGGATGGGATAAAATGTGGTAAGTCAAGGGTCAGATCTGGGACGTCCAGTATGAGTAGACGTCATGGCGAGAGGTGTTCTCGGAGGGAGGGCTATCTCCTGGCTGGTCAGCCGCCAGGAGCACTGTTTCTGTGAAAAAAACTAAGGTTATTTTGGGATTTGGTTGCAGTTAGGTGAACGTTTTCTTCTTTTTAAATTTTTTGTTGACATGTTTCAGGCTTCTTTTTACCCCCTTTTTTAATTTAGTTTGAAGTCCGGTATGATTTTTTTGTTTTGTTCAACCGAAAAGATCTGCAAGTGGCAAGAACCAACCCCCAATCCGACGAGCCATAGCCGCGCTAAACGCCAGCATACCGGCAACGCCACTTAATGATCAACACAGCGATTTCATTTCGTTTTTCTAGATCACGGTTGTTACAGTATTTAAGAAGATTTGTTAGATGGCAATCCTTGTAGTATAAAATTACCCATATAGATTCTCCATGCAAAATCGAATGGAAAAGAAAAACACCATTCCAAATATGTTAATCAAAATGTTCAACATTCAGCTGACAATTTAAGAAATACTATTATCCTCATATTGGGTGCCATTTTCATTTTAGTTGTCTTTGCGGTTAAGTTAAACGTCCTCTTTTTGTGGATGTATCATCATTTGCTCATTTTTGCTTCAAACGTTAAAAAATTACTGCTTCTGTTATTTACGTTGGACGCCATTATAATTATTTATTTATTTCAAAGTTATTTAAAATAGGTTTATTAATACTTTTTCATGCATTCTGTGTTCGTAAGTTTTTAAATTTTTGATTAACATCAAAAAACAAAACGTCGAAAAACTCATTTAAATTTGTGTTTTTCATTCATTCAAACATTCCTTTGGAGTCTTTTTTATTCAATTAAATCCCATCTTTTATTTAATTTCTTTGAAAAATAATCCAAAAGAAAGTGAGGAATCGAAACTTCCTTCACATTACAATTTAGGCCCCGGCGAGATTCGAACTCACGATCTCCTGTTTACTATACAGGCGCTTTAACCAACTAAGCCACGGCGCCATGTTTGCCGTTGCCCACACACAGCGTAGCCATGCAGTAGCAAACCAGCCAAACACACACAGCCATCACTCATTCTTTAGAACGTTTATCTTTCGTAGACGTGTCGGAAAACTTTCTTTAGACGAAACGAGCGGAAGCATAGTGAACACGAGCTATAAATAGCAGACACATAGATCTCATACATGTTGCGAGTTTGGTTGGAACGAACGCACAGCCACACAAACACTTAATTGTTGATATTTTTAGAAAATAAAAAAATATGTTAAACATAAAAATGTTTGGCAATATGATAAGATTTTCGTTTGTTGTTGTTTGACAAACTTGATTGTGGCATAGAACATGGAACTAGATCCCGCTAGAAAAAGCCAACGATTGAAGTGTATTGGCTTATCTTTTCTTCGAACAAAAAGAAATGATAGACAACTTTTTTTATATTTAGCCTTTATTTAGCAGGGAATTTATTTGCAAATGACTGGTTGAAAGCATTTGCCCTGTCCCACCTAACACTCACTCACTCTCCCTGTTTCACACACATGTGTGCACTCTCTTTTTAATATCTCAATTGTTGTTGCTGTTTTAATTTACCCAAGAGTTGTTCCTGTTGTTCTTGTTTTGTTGGGCCCGAGTGTAAGCCTTTTTCTCTTGCACTTATTCGCATGCCAGCCATGCCAAGGTCGGTCATTGACCTTTATTTATAGGTTGCTCTCGTTCATACGTTCGTTCGCTCGCACACAATCGCAACACGGACTGCATTTTTGTGTGACGTCATAACGCAATTTTGACTTTGTTTTGCCATATTATTTTATTTTATTGTTTTTTACATGTCTCTTTATTGTTTTGTGTAGCTGTTATAAGATTCCTTGTTGGCTTTTGTTTTGCTTTGCATTTCGTTGCATCAATCGGCTGACTGGCTGGGTTTAATTGTTGTTGATGTTGTTAACTTCTCTTCGTTGTCTTGCTGACGATGCTCTGTCGCCGCCGTCGCTGCTTTCCTGAAACTGCATTACATTATGCTTTCTTTCAGAGAATGGCGACAGAGCGCAACAGTTGTTTGACAGAGAGAGTGTGAGAGAGTCAAGTACCCAGCTCTGTTTACATATTTGTGTGCAACTTTACAATAGATCAGAGAGATTCTCTTTGAAATAACATCTTAATTGTGGAATCAATGACGGAAAACGAAAATTTTGTTCCTATAAAGGAATCTTAAATCGCAATCTTAAAGGATGAGGCTACAATTTAATAGAACTTAAAACGAGATATAGCAAAGTGGTCAAATTCAACTTTTTGGTATAAAATATATTTATATTTTATTACTTATAAGCTCCATACTATCGGCGTCTCAACAAAAAATTGTCAAATTTATTGAAAAAGTCCAAAGACTTTCCGAAATTTGACACGGGGATGTAAAACAAGGCTGCTTCACTATTGTTTACATTATATCTCAAAGATCTGCAAAATTTTCTTTGAGGTGGTACAAATGTGTATACACTTACACTAAATACACTTACCTGGAACTGATCCTAACCCCTTAAACTTCCGAATTATCCAAGACTATAGCCCTGAGAATCCTCAAAGAAATTAGGGAATTTCAATAGGGGTAATTTTGAATTACCCGGGTTTTCGTTCACTTTTAAAGTGATTGCTTTTTCCAAACTTATAACTTAACAGAAAATTTGATTATATATAATAAAATGGCTGAGCTCAGAGACCTCTACTCTGGAATACTTGATCTCATAGGAATCAACTGTCGAATAGATGGCATCAGCGGCCTCTATTGTAAAGTAGCTGACCATAGAGGCCTCTACTACAAGCCTAGAATACCTGGCCTCATAGGCATCAACTGTAGAGAAGCTGACTTCTGATACCTTTTTGTCGAGTAGCTGACATCAGAGATCACTACTGTAGAGTAGCTAGCCTCAAAAGCCTTTACTGTAGAGTAGCTGTCCTCCAATGTGTAGTAGCTGGCCTCAGAGACAACTACTCTAGAATAACTGGCCTCATAGGCATCAACTGTAGAGTATCTGGCCTCATAGGCTACTCTATTTTAGAATAGCTTACCTTAGGCACCTCCATAGAAAAGTAAATAGCCCCAGAGGTCTTTACTGTATAGTAGCTAGCATCAAAAGCGCTTACTGTAGAGTAGCTGTGCTAGGGCATCAGAGACTTATACTCTAGAATACCTCATAAGATTCAACTGTAGAATAGCTGATCTCAGCGACCTCTATTGTGGAGTAGCTGACCTCAGAGGTCAGAGTAGCTAGCCTCAATCGTCCTCTATTTTGGAGATGTTGACCACGTAGGCCTCTACCAATGCACTGCTGGCATTACATTAATATATGTGTTGCCAAGACAGTGTCGTATTGTCAAAACTATTTCATTTCGAACCAATATACCCCTCTAACGATATTCTCACTAATGAAATGGGAAAAATCCTAAAGGCTTTCTAAATAATGTACTTTTCCGATTGTTTCAAATATTTACATTTTAGGGATAGTCTTACAGTAGGGTACCACCAGGGTAGTATTGTGACGACCATGTATCTTGTGGCTAGTGATCATGTAGTTCATTCTTCGTTATTTATTCCGCTGGGCATTCCCTTCTTTCTTTCTTCCCATTGTCTTCACGCTTAGAATACCCAAAAAAACGAACGCCAGACAATAAAGATTTGGCGGTATTTTTTGGTGTTTATTGTTCAGAAAATTTCGTCCGTCTTGGTGCTTTTTTCAATTAGGCAAAAGATTTATTGTATTTCAAGCAGATGTTTATTGAAATGATGTTGGTGCAGGGGATGATAGAATAAAGAAATGGTCAGTTTATTAAAAAAAAAAATCACGAAAATCTTAACTGGTTGGGGAACAGTAGGGCGAAAAGAGGTAAATAAATTGTGACTTTTATAATGATATATTCGATATATATTAACTGATGAAGCTGAATATCTTCAGTCCTTCTTTCTCCAGGTAC